ATTTCAGTGCCTCCGCTCAGCCTAATTCTAGAAACCTAGGACGTTTGATCAGAGGAGAGGTGGAAAGACAGAGATGCCCTCCTTCAACCCACTCCCCAGTAGGGCTGGCACCTGGCGAGGCTGTCCCCTGAGCCCTGCTCCGGGACGACAGCTGCCTCCTCTGGCACCCTCTGGGCCGTCGTCGCACAGCATCTTTCTTCCTGTTTCTCTCTCCTACTCCACAGTAGGCTCTGAGGGACAGCCACTCCAGTCTGTCCTACTCCCAACTTACTGAGTGCCTACTATGTGCCAAGTGGGGCCATAGAAGTGAGCAAAACAAATCACACGTTTCTTGTAGAGCCTGCATTCCAACGCATACAAACAGGTGCGTCTATGTCAGATGCGAAGGAAAGGGGAGGAGAGGGGAGGAGAGAAGAGGGGAGGGGAGGAGACGAAAAGGATGGCAGGGCCAGTGGGAGACAGGAAGGCTACCTTGAGGTGGGTGCTGGCGAAGCCTTGCCTGCCCTGGAGGAGATCTGGGGAGGAGCAGGCTCCAGAGCAGAGGATATAGCCAGCACTGATGTGTAGAGGGAGGAGACCTCGGCCTATCTGAAGAGCAGCATCAGTGGGGGGAGTGAGGAGATGGGAAAGGGGCCATCGTAAAGGCTTAGGATTTTATGCTAAATAAAATGAGAAGCCATTGGGAAGTTTTGAACAAAGATATTTTATTTATTTATTTATTTTTTATTCATTTTTGAGACAGAGTCTCACTCTGTTGCCCAGGTTGGAGTGCAGTGGCACCATGTCAGCTCACTGCAACCTCCGACTCCTGAGTTCAAGTGATTCTCTTGCCTCAGCCTCTGGAGTAGCTGGGATTATAGGCACCCGCCACCACGCCTGGCTCATTTCTGTATTTTTAGTAGAGTCAGGGTTTCACCATGTCGGCCAGGCTGGTCTCGAGCTCCTGACCTCAGGTGATCCTCCTTCCTCAGCCTTCCAAAGTGCTGGAATTACAGGTGTGAGCCACCGCGTCCGGCCAAGAGATTTTAGTATTAGCATTCAGGACCCTGCCTCTGTGTCTTTAGACACTGTCTCTTCCACCATTGGCCCAAGGCCCGATGTATGAGAACAGGTTTGCTCTCAAAATTTGTCACATGATATGTTAAGGTACATACATTCCTACGGTAACCCTACAATAATACTTTAATTCCTCAAAAATATCCTGAAAATAGTACATATTTTTTTAATTTCAAAAGTTATTAAGAAGCCTGAATACACACAAATCCCTCTGATCTCCTTCCTATGTAATCTTGTAGACGGTGACAGTTCTTCGATGGGTTTACTTGGGTTTTCACCTCAGAACTACTGAATTTCATCCTGTCAATCGTTCCTCTTTCTTCAAGATAGAGGAGCCAGGCCCTTACTGGTAACAGCCATTGGCAGAGGGTAAAGGGATAGTCCAGAGATAAAGGAACCAAGGCTGGGGCCGGGCGCGGTGGCTCACGCCTGTAATCCTAATACTTTGGGAGGCCGAGGCGGGCGGATCACGAGGTCAGAAGATCGAGACCATCCTGGCTAACACAGTGAAACCCCGTCTCTACTAAAAATACAAAAAATTAGCCGGGCGTGGTGGCGGGCGCCTGTAGTCCCAGCTACTCAGGAGGCTGAGGCAGGAGAATGGCGTGAACCCGGGAGGCGGAGCTTGCAGTGACCAGAGATCGTACCACCGCACTCCAGCCTGGGCACAGAGCCAGACTCCGTCTCAAAAAAAAAGTAACCAAGGTTAGCAGGCCAATGGGGGGACTAGGATGGATTTTTTTTTTCTCAGTTGGAATAGCTATGGGTAGAATGTTCTCCAGTCCTGCACCTCACCTAACAATCACTGCATATTCCACCTAGAAATCATCCTTATAATAACACGTACACATTCTTTTCTTCTTTTAGAGTTGGAGTCTCTCTCTGTTTTCCAGACTGGTCTCAAACTCCTGGGCATAAGTGATCCTCCCACCTCAGCCTCCTCAGTAGCTAGGACAACAGGCACGCGCCACTGTGCTGGACCTAAAGCACGTTCTTAAGACAATATCGAAATACTTTTCCAGAGACACAAGGGGTTTTCTCATCTGGGAAATCAGGAAGATGGAAACTCGGAGAAGTTAAATACTTAACTGAGATACCCAGAAGTTCAGCTGCCAACCAGGCAAGGCTTCTGAGAAGGCTGTTCCATGAGTCTGGCTTCTGTCAGTTACAGATATTTCATCCAAGTTATGTTATATCTGTGTTACTTTGTCAAGTAAAATTGCACACTCCCTCGGTCATAGTCTTTTTTTATATATATTTTTTGAGTCAGTCTCACTCTGTTGTCCAGGCTGGAATGCAGTGGCGAAATCACAGTTCCCTGTAGCCTCAACCTCCCAGGCTCAAGGTGATCCTCCCACCTCAGCCTCCCAGGTAACTGGGACTACAGGTATATGCCAGCACACCCGGCTAGATTTTTAATTTTTTGTAGAGACAGGGTTTCACCATGGTGCCCAGGCTGGTCTTGAACTCCTGGGCTCAAGCAATTCGCCCCCCTTGGCCTGGCAAACTGCTGGGATTACAGTTGTGAGCACCGCGCCTAGCCAGTCATAATCTTTACACTATTTATTCATCTACTGGGCCCTATAATGTCCTAATTCTATCTGACTTGCCTAGATGCAAAGTTCAGTGGCCAGGACCAAGGGCAGGTCTGCCTAGATTCTAAAGTACCCAGGGCTTTGTGAAAGTTCAAGAACCACACGAATACCAGAAAAGCAGTGTTCTGGGAAAATCTTCTATAACCAACTCATAAATAGATGATTCTCCAGGGAAGGTATCAAGGGGAAAAAGAAATATGATCTTCCTCCACCCGCATCCTGCCTACACCTCTTTGCTATAAAAACCTTATTTCTTATTACTTTAATTAAGTTTCTGGCATGATGCCTGGTAAAGGCTTTATGTTCATACAGCCTTGTAGAAAACAGCCCTGAACCGGCCTGGCGCGGTGGCTCACGCCTGTAATCCCAGCTCTTTGGGAGGCCGAGGTGGGCGGATCACAAGGTCAGGAGACCGAGACCATCCTGGCTAACATGGTGAAACCCCGTTTCTACTAAAAATACAAAAAATTAGCCAGGCATGGTGGCAGGCACCTGTAGTTCCAGCTACTTGGGAGGCTGAGGCAGGAAAATTGCTTGAGCTGAGATCGCGCCACTGCACTCCAGCCTGGGCGACAGAGCGAGACCGTATCTCAAAAAAAAAAAAAAAAGAAAGAAAGAAAGCAAAAGAAAAGAAAAGAAAAGGGCCCTGAACCCCACAATGACAGCAGCAAACCCAAGAACTTGGTCACCTATACAAGCCCTACTTTCTCTCCTGCCTGTGTTAACCTAGACCACCAACATGTCAATGTCGGCCAGGCATAGTGGTTCACGCCGGTAATCCCAATACTTTGGGAGGCCAACATGGCATTGCTTGTAGTTTGGCCAGTAGTTTGAGACCAGCCCGGGCAACAAAGCAAGAACCAGTCTCTACAAAAAAAAAAAAAATTTTTTTTTGAGATGGAGTCTTGCTCTGTAGCCCAGGCTGGAATGCAGTGGCACGATCTCGGCTCACTGCAAGCTCCGCCACCCAGGTTCACACCATTCTCCTGCCTCAGCCTCCCGAGCAGCTGGGACTACAGACGCCTGCCACCAGGCCCGGCTAATTTTTAGTATTTTTTTTTAGTAGAGACGGGGTTTCACCCTGTTAGCCAGGATGGTCTTGATCTCCTGACCTAGTGATCCGCCCACCTCGGCCTCCCAAAGTGCTGGGATTACAGGCATGAGCCACCGCACTTGGCTGAGAAACCATTCTTATAACAATATGGTATACCGACAACTGGATTCTTGGTGTCTATAACATCTAGATTGTCTTTCCTGTGATTTAGAATCTGACAGCCCTGAGTTCGAATCTTGACTCCAGGGGGTTGAGGAATTTGATCAGATATGGAGGGTGGAGATTCTTGCAAAATGGACATAGCAAGGTTTCTGCAAAAATTGGGAGGTGCCTTTGTACAGACATGGAAGTCCACAGGATAGACTTAGTTGGGAAAGCAGTTCAGAGGAGCCTGTGTAACTTTTGGCAAGTAATTAATTTAATCTCGGGAGGTTTCTCTGATCAATGGGAATAATAATATCCACCCCACCAGTTTTTGTAAAGTTTAAATAAGATCATCATTTGTTCCTGGCTTTTAGTAATGGAAATGCAAGCTGATTCCCTCATCCACCTCCTATGTTCCTCCCCTCAAGGTTGGCCAATCCGCTTGAAGAAACTGTCATCACAGAAAGACAAATACCTTCTGTTCTCACTTAGAGGTGGAAGCTGAATAATGTGTACACTTTGACATAGAGCGTGGTGATAACAGAGTCTCAGAAGGGTGAGAGAGTGGGAGGCAGGTGGGTGGTGAGAAATTACTTAATGGATACAATGTACGATACCCTGAAAGCCTGACTTCACCTCTGCACAATCCATGCATATAACAAAATTACACTTGAACTCAATAAATTCATACTTTTTTTTTTCTTTTGAAATGGAGTCTCACTGTGTCGCCCAGGCTGGAGTGTAGTGGCGTGATGTTGGCTCACTGCAAACTCTGCCTCCAAAGTTCCAGCAATTCTCCTGCCTCAGCCTCTCAAGTAGCTGGGATTACAGGCACCCACCACCATGCCAGGCTAATTTTCTATTTTCGGTAGAGATGGGGTTTTATCATGTTGGCCAGGCTGGTCTCAAACCCCTGACCCCAGGTGATCCACCTACCTCAGCCTCCCAAAGTGCTGGGATTACAGGCGTGAGACTCCATAAATTTATACTAATAAAATTTATTTAAGTTTAACAATAAAAAAAGAAATTGTGATCAATAAATTTTATCAAACTTTTTTTTTATTGGGCAAGACTTACTTTTTATATTTCACATGAGAATGCAACTATAACCCTTCCATGAACAAAATGACCAGGGTACTAATAAAACCATCTTTGCAGGAGTGTTTAATAAGCATATTTTATTTAAATAAATCCTCCAGTAGGAAATGGAGAATTCACTGCCTTTACTTAGATAGCTATGTAAATAGCTATCTGTCAAATTTATATATGCAGCTCACCAATATTCCCTTACTGGAAACATCAGTATTTCCACATCACATCACAGTTCCCAAAAGGACCTCAAAGTCTCAAAATTCTGTATCTTCTTTGGATTGCTTCTCTGTTGATTCCACCCAGGCTTTATCAGTGGTTCTCTTCATATCATCATCTCCATCTTCATAAATTTTCTTTAGAACATTCATCAGTCCCTCACTAGTATCTGTTTCAGTGTCATAGGAGGGCTTCTCTTTTTCTTTGCACTCTTTTTCAACCTGGGTCAGGTAATCCCACCTTGTGTTTTCCACTTTCTTTCTACACAATATAAGAACTGTATCAGTCTTGACTTTTTTTGAACTGCCTTCCACAGAGATGGATTTCAAGAGATTGTTCACAATCATGGAGTAACTCTTCCCATTTAGATTCTTTACCAAAAGATCAAATGACCTCTCTGTGAAATGCACCTGCACATTCTCAGTGGGAACTTGATGCACTCCACTTAAAGTAATGTAGATTTTCACAAACTTATCTGACTGATCCCATCCATAATTACTGCTTTTCACCTTATAGCCCGTTGTAATGGGAGCAACCACAGCAGCTGGTTTTTCATTTTCAAGAAGTTCTGCTTTCTTCTGTGATTTCTGTTGCATCTTGTTCTTGATTTTTGTCTCAAAATCTTGGATTTTTCAGCTGTAAGGGCATCACGTACTCTTTTCCTAGTAGCCTTTTCCAGCAACACCTTTACCTCTTCTAGATCTTTCTGTAGCTCTTCTGAAGCCATGGGGGCTGGATCAGGCCAAAGGCCCAAGCTGCAGCCGCGCAGACTGAGCACAGACGCCCACCGCAGGAGTCGCGGCACCGCAGCCTGCGCCTATCAAACATTTTATTTCTTTATTACGTATATATAAAAGAATCATTCGTGCAAAGAATATTATATTCTAAATGCAATTAATCTGCAAATGATACATCTAGAGAGAACATGAAACTTGTTCCAGAACAGTCATTTAAAGCCAAAACAAAAGGTTTAAAGTTAGGTAAGGAATGCACTTTGGTGAATATGTAGTGATCCGTTCACCCACAGGTTCAATAAAATGGTTAAGTGGTCAGCAATTGGGCTAATTCATACTGGTGATTGCCTGGGAGAAGGAAGGCTGAAGAGTTCAATTTAGATAAAGAAACAAACTCTTCCTCTGGGACAACTTAAACGTAAAGACTACACCACACATTTTTGAGTAATAGAAATAGCAAAGATGTATGTATCTCTTGTCCTTATCTTTTAAGGAAAGCTGAGCAAATGGTACAATCTTGGGGAACAGAGTAAGTGTCAACGAACCACGTTGTTTCCAAAATGACCTGGGAACAAGAGTCAGCGTCTGCAGTAGAGCTCTTCAAAGCCTGGGAGAAACCATGGAGTCCACGTATCAAAATCCCACCCACAACAGAATTGATTTGTTTCTTTGATGTCCTTGATGTTCATGCAGAATTCACTCCTTGAGGTCAAAAAGTTCATCAAACTTCTGTAGAAATTCCAAAGTATTTGATAGATTCTCAGCACTGCAAAAAGAGAAAATTCTAGTTTAAGGCTCCAACTCAAAGTGTACGTCTGTGACGTACTCTTGAAAAACAACAGTGAGTGCTTCTGACAAGACACTCTCCTTGACCAAACTTTGGTGAGAGCCCTCTGAGCCTTTGGATTTCTGTGTCTGTCTTTGTATCACCTAATTTTAGCAAAACTTCTGCTGCGTCAGTTAAGCAAGAATCCCTCTATATCTGATCAAATTTCTCTTCGCCACCTCCATCACCAAGTGGTGTCTGATTATCTGGAAGGAAAGATTCTGTCGAATTGGTTTAGCCAGAATCCCCCGACCCCTGATGCTTCTTCCTAGGAATTTTTCATCCCCTGATCTCCACCCTACTCCTTGGCTATGAATCCCCCACGCTGTGTTCAGAACGGAAGCCCATTCTGTACTGAAGTCTTTTCCCCTATTGCAATAGTTTCTCATTAAAATCTGTTTCCGCCAGGCATGGTTGCTCATGCCTGTAATCCCAGCACTTTGGGACACCTAGGTGGGCAGATTTTCTGAGGCCAAGAGTTCTAGACCAGCCTGGTCAACATGGTGAAACCCCCCTCTCTACTAAAAATACAAAAATTAGTTGGACATGGTGGCAGGTGCCTGTAATCCCAGCTACTCAGGAGGCTGAGGCAGGAGAATTGCAGGAACCCAGGAGGCGGAGGTTGCAGTGAGCTGAGATTGTGCCACTGCACTCCAGCCTGGGTGACAGAGCAAGACTCTGTCTCGAAAATAAAAATAAATAAAATCTGTTGGCCAGGCGCGGTGGCTCACACCTGTAATCCCAGCACGTTGGGAGGCCAAGGCAGGCAGATCACCTGAGGTCAGGAGTTTGAGACTAACCTGGCCAGCATGGTGAAAGCCAGTCTCTACTAAAAATACAAAAATTAGCCAGGCATGGTGGCAGGTGCCTGTAATCCCAGCTACTCGGGAAGCTGAGGCAGCAGAATCGCTTGAACCTAGAAGGCAGAGGTTGCAGCGAACGAGATCGCACCATTGCACTCCAGCCCACACAACAGAGTGAGACTTAGTCTCAAAAATAAGAAAATAAATAAAATGAAATCTGTTTCATTCCGTTACTGTCTGGCTCTGGTTTTTCCTTAACCCTTCCCTGCCTGATCACTCGCCTCTTCCTCAGTCTTGGCTCCCAACTACTAACTGTTCCTCAAAATCAAATACACCCTTGGAAAATGAAGATTCTCCACCAGTAAAGATGGATGAGACTGGGAGTGGAGGCTCACCCCTGTAATTCCAGCATTTTGGGAGGCCAAGGCGGGTGGGTTACCTGAATTCAGGAGTTTGAGAACAGTCTGGCCAACATGGTGAAACCACGTCTCTACTAAAAAAAAAAAAAAAAAAAAATTACCCGGTCGTGGTGGCAGGTGCCTGTAATCCCAGCTACTTGGGAGGCTGAGGCAGGACAATGGCTTCAACCCAGGAGGCAGAGGTTGTGGTGAGCCAAGATCATGCCACTGCACTCCAGCCTGGGCAACAGAATGAGACTCTGTCTCAATAAACAAAAACAAAACAAAAACAAAACAAAACAAAAAAGATGGATGAATGTCTGTCTACGCTGTAGGCTTAGAAGATAAAACCAAAAGAGGAGTTGTAGAAATCTCTGCATTGTTTGAACAAACAACCCAACGTGACTGCTTTAAGGGTGACAACTATTATCTGACTCTATGTTCCATTTTTTAAAATTACCTTACTTTGTAGTCATATCTCTCATAGTCACGAGGTAAGTTGCATGTCAATATGGCATGTCAATGCTTGAACTAAGTTGACTGATGGTGTCAACCTGAGTTAGCTTCAGTTTGACTGACTTTCTTTCTTTCTTTCTTTTTTTTTTTTTTTTTGAGATAGATTCTTGCTCTGTCACCCAGGCTGGACTGCAGAAGTGCAATCGTAGCTCAGTACAACCACAGACTCCTGGGCTCAAGGGATCTCCCACCCCAGCCTCCTGAGTAGCTGGGACTACAGGCACACACCACTGCACCTGGCTAATTTTTTTAATTTTTTTTAATTTTTATTTTTTGAGACAGAGTCTTGCTCTATCACCCAGGCTGGAGTGCAGTGGCACGACGTTGGCTCACTGCAATCTTCGCCTCCTGGGTTCAAGAGATTCTCCTGCCTCAGCCTCCGGAGTAGCTGAGACTACAGGCATGTGCCACCAAGCCTAGCTAATTTTTGTATTTTTAGTAGAGATGGGGTTTCTCCATGTTGGCCAAGCTGGTCTCGAACTCCTGACCTCAGGTGATCCACCCACCTCAGCCTCCCACAGTGCTGGGATTATAGGCTTGAGCCACCGTGCCCAGCCACACCTGGCTAATTTTTTTAAAAGAAATTTTTATAGAGACTGGTCTTGCTTTGTCACCCAGGTTGGAGTTCAGTTATGCCATCACAGCTCACTATAAAGTCGAAACTCCTGGGCTAAAGCAAGCCTCCTGCCTCACCCTCCCAAAGTGCTGGGACTACAGGCATGAGCCACCATACCTGGCCCAGTTTGACTTTCTAGCTCCACTTTTGCAGACTCCTCAGCCTACAAGTAAAGTTCTTTCTCAACTCTTTGGTCTTGGACGAAGCAAAAGTCTTTCTGCATGGGTCCTTCAGTCCTTCTTACCCTCACTTTCAGGCAAACCAGATTATTAATTAATTAATATTACATCCTCACAGGTGATATCCCAGGATCTCAGATCTTGCCTTAAACTCTCTCTCTCTCTCTCTCTCTGTCTCTCTCTCTCTCTCTCTCTCTATATATATATATATCCCCAACTCCTCGCTCTCCCTCTTTCACATTTTTTCCTATTGATACATAATATTTTACATGTTTATGGGGTACATGTATTTGCTATATACATAGAATGTGTAGAGACGTGAACAACTCCATCACCCATCACCTTGAGTATTTATCTGTTTTTACTTATTTATTTATTTATTTTTTGAGGTGGAGTCTTGCTCTGTTGCTCAGGCTGGAGTGCAATGGCATGATCTTGGTGCACTACAACCTCTGCCTCCCGGGTTCAAGTGATTCTCCTGCCTCAGCCTCCTGAGTAGCTGGGATTACAGGCATACGCCACCACACCCAGCTAATTTTTGTATTTTTAGTAGAGATACGGCTTCACCATGTTGGCCAGGCTGGTCTCGAACTTCTAACCTCAGGCAATCCACCCGCCTCAGCCTCCCAAAGTGCTGGGATTACAGGCATGAGCCACCGCACCCGGCCGAGTATTTATCATTTCTATGTGTTGGAAATATTTCAAGTCCTCCCTTCTATCTGCTTTGAAATATACTATACATTGTTGCTGGCTATGGTCGCCCTACTCTACTATCAAACATTAGAACTTGTTTCTTCTGCCTAACTGCATGTTCCTACCCATTCATCAAGCTCTCTTCCCCCTTCCCCCACCCACACCTCCTTCCCAGCCTCTGGTATGTATGATTCTGTGCCACACAGTTATCCCTTTTTATATCTGCCTCTTTGTAAGTCTTTCCCTTATAGCTTCCATCAGCCCATTGTCCCAACATCTGGCAAGCAGATTCCTTCATTTCTGTTTGAACATCTGTTCCTGTAACCACCCCACAGGCCTTCACACTTATCCATCCCCAGTCTTCCACCTGGAACCTGAAGCTTACATCCTACGGCATCCCAGTTCCTCCTTACTTCAGTCTCCACCTCCCCCTACCCACCTAACAAGCCAAAGAACACAAGCCATCGCTGATTTCAACATAACCATCAGATTTTGCTGAACTTAATTTTTTCTTCTGAATGAGACAATAGGCTATTTATTTATTTATTTAGAGACAGGGTCTTGCTCTCTTCCCCATGCTGGAGTGCAGTGGCTCAGTCATAGCTCACTGCAGCCTTGAGCTCCCGGGCTCACGTGATCCTCCCACCTCAGCCTCCCAAATAGCTAGAACCACAAGTGTGTGCCACCACTCCCAGCTAATTACTATTTTTTTAGAGACAGGGCCTCACTATGTTGCCCAGGCTGACGATTCTGTTTAGTAAGTATTTGAGAGCTGTACAAATGTCAGACACGGTTTTCAGTTCAGGTAAGCCCCCAGCTGTGCTGGGGCCTCCTGCTCTTTGGGACAGCACTGGCCTGTGGTCAAGCCGATGAGCTAAACACAGGACAGGCTGCTTGGTCCTCAGTCACAGCCTGGCCCCAGGAAGGCAAGGCCCCAGAAGCCACTTAACCAGTGGAAACAGCAAGGCTTATGGTAAGGTGAGAGGGACTGCCAGTACT